TACCCTTAATTGCCCTGGTTCCCCTGTGTGCCATTAAAAGTGTAAAACGACAACTTGACTCAAATATTTTTCAATATGTTACAAATTAAAAATTCTTTTCGGAACAATTAAGAATGTGAAAGAGCTTTAGTATTGTTCCCATGTACAATGAAACTCACAGATAAAGCAACGTGTTTGCTCCAGCCGGCGCCATATTCGTAACAACTTCTCTTTCAGAACCTAACGCTTCCAAAAGAACACAAACAGTACGTTCATCGCCATTTATCACCGCATTACGTAATTCGCGATGCTTTATCATTCGAACTTGCTCTCGTGCATCTGTAAATATAAAGAAATTACATAAAAATAAATAAAAAAGGATATACATTTTAAGGTTTCGTAATTCAAAAAGTAAATAGATTCGTCCAGAGTTTTGTTTTACCTAAGGAATGTGAAAATTCAATGACTTCATCCACAAAATAATCACAGGCTTCCAAAGCGGTTTCAGTACCAGGTTTTGGCTTATCAACAAAATGCCATGACATATTGAAGACCGTAAGAAGAAATTTTTACCAGCTATGATCAAACTAGAACAAGGTATAAATCATGTATATTTTTTATAGATATAAACCTATAAAACATATCTAGGAAAAATAAAAAAAAAATTGATATAAATAATAAAAAATACAATAATAAACTGGAGAATCATGTGATAAAATGTATAAAAATCAATATTTTAGGACAGATCATACGATATTAAGTCGTAATCATCTTCAAAAATTATCTCTAAAAATTTTAAATTGTAGCTTACTACTCGTAGCTTGCAAATCGTAGGAGCCTTTTTGAAAACAATTAGTAGATAAGAACTTCCCCGAAAGTAACTCTTTTGATGAAGAAATATGTCGCTGCAAGGATAAAGTTTGCAAAAAAACATTTCAATTAGCAATCTATGAAATGGCGGAATGTGGTGTGGATCCAGAAAGTATGTTCACCCATTCCAATACTATGTGTTTATAAGATCATTCCACGAACCCTACCAAAATTTGGGCTTTCGTCCTATGGTGACGTTTGAACAGGAGAACGACCCAAAATATATGATCAAACTAGCTAAGGAGTGGTTTGCAACAGAAAAGATCGATGTAATGTCCTGGGCAGCACAGGCAAAAATTAAGAGACGAGTTCAGAATCTAATAGACCCCATGCAACGTCGAAGTAATAAAAAAAGAATCTACAAACAAATATTAGTGAATCGAAAAGATATACTATATACAATTTTAATTTTTACTATATATTTTTCTGTTTATATATATAAATCTTATAAAAAAATACAAATATTATATATTGAAAAAATAAAACTGTGTATATTCGTCGAAATACATAGCTAAAAATTACTTTTTAAATGTATTATATTATTAACTTGATTTTTCTGAATTTTCCGACTATTGTAAAACTTTGGATTGGGATCGAGGAAGCATGATACGCAATTCCACAAAGTATATCACAGAAGTCATTGGAAAGTTTGCCCCGGCGATGCCAAGAAATTTTATTTCAGTTATGGATACACTTCAAATAACTAGTGTTGTGAGTATCATCAGTACTGTACTTTTTCTATAGCCAGACAAAATAGTGTGCAATTGGAAACACAAAATTTTTTTTAAAAATAACTATTACTTTTTTTCAGTTGGCTCTTTGTTCGAAGCTCATTTTCGCACCGTTAACGCAAACATACTGACACTTAAAACGCAATAACTTCACTTCCAATGAGATATATTGATAAAACTAGGTAAGCGCATTACTTGGCTAAAAAAGTAAGAAGAATTAAGATATAAAACTCTAATTTGATACAGGGGATCGTAATAGAAAAGGGCACCTGTAGGCAAAATTTTTTAAAAAGTGGTCATGGTGGTGGGCTGACAGTCTGAAAGTGGATGAAATATGGAGATGGTAACCCCGTGTTAATAACTATTAAAAGCGCGATAAATCAATAACTAAACATAAAATTTTACCCCCGAGATTTTATTTAATAGATCCGGGGTCAAAATTAGACGATGGGTGTGGAATCGTAGTCTCCGAATTTCGGTAGTAAATTTTAAAAATTTCGTTGTAGGATCGTCAAAAGAGCGGAGGAAAATATTGCGTCCTTTGCTGTCCGTATCGGTATACTTTTGTAGTGCCCTATTGACAAACCCTATATAAATCCAAATCTATTTCGTTTAGTTTTAACACGCACAATCGTTAGGTGAACAAAACTATTATACTCCACAGCAACATGTTGAAAGAGTATATGAACGTATTTCCTAAGCACTTTTGATTGCATCTAAAGTTCACAAAATATTAACTCATTTCGAATTTGCTTGTATCCACAAAAAGGAAATTCTTCAACATTTGTAATACAAACATATTTAATGGTTTAATCCATTAAAAAACTACTAATTTTCACACAGTGTTCAATCAAATCCAATAACAACAGAATTAGGTGTAAATTGTTCGGTGTACGCAGTAGCTAAAATATACAGAAAATACATTTTAGCAGTAAAATTTGCAGAAGCATGACAACAAGACGTGTATTATGATATTCTATTTTCAAAATATTGTTGAATGATAATTAATTCAAAAATTAATACTCAACAATAGGTTAGCAACAACTGTAGCATAGCACTATCGAATCACCACTGCATTCGAAAATCATTATTTATTTTTTGAACTTCCCTCTGATTTTGCAGAATTTTAAACTTAAATTACTCGTATTTATAGCAACAGTTTTATTTACATTTTAGTTTTGTCTACCGAACTTCTGATTCACTAATATAAGTATGTATGTTGAAATCGGCTCATCTAAAAAACAATAATATTAAAAGCGAATGGTTTGACAGCTAGCTTTTGAAAAATCAATAAGAATAAGGAAAGCTGTCCATGGTAAAAAATAGCAGCTTTGTTTCTGTACTGTTAAAAACAGCAAATCATAAGATGCAACAATTTATGTTCAGTCGGTATAAAAAATTTGTAGAATCCGATTATTTTGTATTATATTAAATAGTGTAAAACATGGGGAAGAAAATCAAAAGAAACTGTATTCGAAAAAAAAAGAAAAATAATATTTAATCTTCAAGAAGTAGTAAACACGTTGCAGGAGATATTAAAATTTACCGATAGAAGTGTTTCCGCCATACACAGAATTTTACAGAGGAATTCGCTGAAGTTAGGACAGTGATCCGGAAAATCTTAAGTATCATCAAGATTTTTCAATGTTTACTCAAATTATTATAACAATAGTGAATTAAATAAGTGGCACGATTCCGATTACTTGGCGGAGGGGTAAAAAAACCGAATTTCCGTAGAAATGGGGCATGTACGGATAGGGGAGCTTCACCAGAAAAGGAATATAAATAAGTGGCACGATTCCGATTACTTGGCGGAGGGGTAAAAAAACCGAATTTCCGTAGAAATGGGGCATGTACGGATAGGGGAGCTTCACCAAAAGAGGAATATTCAAAAATAATATAAAAATAGCTAATATTTGCAATTACGTGTCACTAAATTTTATCACGTTTTTTTATATATATACTAGCTGACCCTGCAGCCGCTGTCCTGCGTGAAATTATGTTTTGAAATGAGAAGAAAGTTGAATTTATCAATAAATTTTTATTTTTTTTTTCAATGTAACGTTGCTTGATAAACCACATTTTTTGGTTTCTGTTTCTGGTGTACAGAAAAGATGGTTTTCAAACTCGTGAGCCCGCCACGTATATCTTACCGTGTGAAAAACATAGCACTACCAAACTTGGCAAACCAAGTTGTGTCCTGTTGATCGTCACCTCGATGCAATTTCCACTGGAAGCGGAATACGTTGAACTGAAATGGCAAATCACACATGCGTCACAATCAGTCGGGTTCCATTACACAGTTTCAGTGCATGAAGATTGCGAAACATAATAATGACAGATCCAACTTTGAGACGCAAATGATGCGGTGGCATACCAAGCCTCTACAAACAATTTAGAAATTCCACTGGATAATTCACGGTGTCGTCTTTATTGTCAAGACGATCGATCGATTTGTATGAGCGCAAGCCTCGCGGAATTTGACATTGAATCTTTCAGTTTAAGTCAACAACATCGATATTTTTGGCAGCTAACATTGCGCGTGCACTTAAGGAATCGCAGTTACGATAATTTGGATAATGTTCGGATAAACATTCATGATGAGTTCATCTTTCGTGAATTGATAAACGGCGAATGGAATTGATATTAAACCACCGGAAGTATAAACCATTTCCAATTTTTAGCGTAGACGATGTAAAATGTCTTTGGCAGTGTTATTGTTGTTCGCTGGCTTACTTCTCCAAAACTTGCACACACCGTACCATTCACGCAATGACTCAAATGAAGTTGAAGCGAGAACATTAATCGAATGTAGAAACCATGGTCATTTTACGGGTGGATTGTATAAATTCGTCCTAAGGAATTAGTTGAGAACACACCTGGATGTCAATCTACTGGTTTGCCTTCCTTTCTGCGTAACTATTTCTTCGACAATGCATTCCATGTATAATGTCAAAGTATTTCCGAATAGAGCAATGTTCTCGCAAACAGATTACTGGCAAAAGTTGAGAAAAAACTCGAAAATATTAATTTTGTTGCTAGCGGTGTTTTCATTGGCTGTATTATTTTCTCTAAGTTGAAATATACTCTTTGGCCGTTCATGAATTGCAAATATCCCACGAAGCGCTTTATTGCAGTTCACATATCGACCATTTGATAATTGCTGATCTCATCTCGTTCAAGACCAATAACCGCCATGTTGCTTCCTTTAGTGACGTATTTACAAACGTATTTTATCGATTACACCAAACTGCAATACTCMACATTAATATGAGTTTTGAATGTGAATTAGTGGTGAATATAGTACGATCCATGAGTTGTCAACTTCGATATTCATTCTTCTAAATGAAATGCTGAATGTTCTGCCATTGTCGTCTGGTGGGCTACGCCGATAGAGTGGATATCCATCATTTCTAGTTTGTGTTTCCGAAAGAAAAGCACGAAGATAACGTTTCGTGCACTTATTGTCAGCCACACAAACCGAAAAGGGATTTTAATGTTCGGAAGGTCCATGAATCATATTGGTTTTCACCACTTCGAATAATACTGGATCTTTCTCTGAATCAGGAATTTCCGCAGAAATGATTTCATCAATTTGATCTGGTATAACCACCATCCAAAGAAGAATGTGTACGTGCGGCAAACCTCTCTTTTGCCACTCAACAGAGTACAGCTAGCATCCAACAGCACCTTCAAACATCGTGACGATCGATTGTTGATTGACCGCGATCCATAATTCCGCACGTATGTCATCGCAGCCTTGGAGTGCTTCTCGCCTTGCCTTGCCTTGGGCTGCCATACGTTGCTCGCAAAACAAAACGATAACCGATATTAAGGAGACCTCTTCGTGGCTTCGTAACAAATTTCAATCTGCAATTTATCACTTTGCGTGAAACACACATATGTAAAGTTTCCAGTAAATAATTTTTTTTTGAATAGCCGGAATAAAAAAGCAATCGACCGAAATTGAACGACTCAAATAATTC